CTTGGTTGTGACAGTTTCTCAGACTTTCTTTGTTTTAGATTACCTTGACGGTTTTGAAGAGTACTGATCAAGTATTTCATAGAATGTCCTTCTACTGGTAATTATCTGATGTTTTTCTTATGACTAGACTAGGGTTATAGGTTTTGGGAAGGAAGTCCCAGATATAATATATTGTTTAATCACAGCAAATTGAGTACACTGTATCAACCTGATTTATGACTGATTTTCTTGACCACCTGGCTGAGATGGTGACTGTCAGGTTTTCCACTGTAAAGTTACTCTTTTTCTCCCCTTTTGTACTGTATTCTTTGGAAGGAAGTCACTATGCATAGCCTACCTTTAAAGACTGGGGAGTTGTTCTCCCCCTTCTTAAGGGTGGAGTCTCTGCATAAATTATCTGGAATTCTTCTACATGTCTGGAACCCAAGTTCCAAAAAAATACATTTTTCAACTTTCTGCCCTGTATTCCTTGAAAATGAGATCCTGAAAGAACTGGTCTGTATCCCAGGATTCCTGAAAGGTGATAAGCAAAAAGGTAATTCATTGATCAACTTATATTTAAGCTACATAGAAAATAAAAGTGGCATTTTCTTTTACATATTTACAAACTCCTATTTTTGGCCTATTGTCCTGCCACTGAGGTCAAAAGGAGGATTTTACCATGCAGCATCAGGATGATGGTCATGTAAACACATTTCATATTTGCTTTAAAAATACCTGAGTGTTGACAGATCATATTGTGTTCACTTGTACCTAACATCTTTTGAAAAAATGACCTCACAATGTTCAAGTGATAACAGTATTTTAGACAGAATCACCACACTTTTACATCTTAAAAATTAATCTCTTGCCGGGCACGGTGGCTCAAGCCTGTAATCCCAGCACTTTGGGAGGCTGAGGCGGGTGGATCACGAGGTCTAGAGATCGAGACCATCCAGGTCAACATGGTGAAACACGGTCTCTACTAAAAATAAAAAAATTAGCTGGGCATGGTGGCGCGTGCCTGTAATCCCAGCTACTCAGGAGGCTGAGGCAGGAGAATTGCCTGAACCCAGGAGGCAGAGGTTGCCGTGAGCCGAGATCGCACCATTGCACTCCAGCCTGGGTAACAAGAGCGAAAACTCCGTCTCAAAAAAAAAATTAATCTCTTTTTGAATCGCTTGAACCTGGGAGGCGGAGGTTGCGGTGAGCCGAGGTCATACCATTGCACTCCAGCCTGGTCAACAAGAGTGAAACTTTGTCTCAAAAAAAAAAAAAAAGAAAAAAGAAAAATTATTCTCTCTTCTCTATTAGATGAATTTTTCCCTTTTAAATAATAAAAATCTAATGTAAGGAACCTGGAGAAAACTTGAGTTTTAACATTACAGTGTCTCCAGAGCCATGTAAGCAAACTCCCAGTTTAATGCTTGAACCTACACTGTATTATCATGGCCAGTTTGTTTTTAGGGCACCATTAGGGCATCTCCCCTGATGCTAACCCACTACTTCCGAAGGCAGTTATTTTGTGGGTTTTTTTTGGCTACCAGAGATTTGAGATCCAGTATAAGAACAAACTCTATAGCTTTCTCTTACTGACACTTTTACTTTTTGCATCTAGGAACTGCCAGTCTTCCTCTACAGGATAAAAATCCCTCATCTCACATATTATTAGCTGAGTCTCTCAGCATTCTAGTTACTGTCTTTTAGACCATTTCTAGCTTTTATATAAAAGTATGTGTACATGAAGAGATGAATATGCATCTTTAAAATAAACCTGTTGCAGATTACTGTTTGGTTAGGCATCACCATCTGTGAGATCATTTCTGTGGCCTCTTGAATTATCCATCTACCTTACCTGCAAGGGCCTTAAGAGATTAATATTCTCATACTTGGAAACCAGAATTTCTTCGTCACCTGTTTATCTGTCCTTGGTACCTGGAGTGATTCTTTCACTTCTGCTTCCAAGTATGTTTTTCCTATTTGGTAATCAAAGCTATCACTGAAATCCCTTGGGAATATCTCCTAGTTGGCTCAAGCATGTATAGAAAGTTCTAGCATGCTTAACATTTAAGAACCAAGATGAGTTCTTTACTAAATGGTCATTTTCTGCCTTGTAGGGTAGTTTTCTTTGAAAATAAAGAGGAGTTGTGATGGTCTTCTAGATATTAAAAAAGAGCATGTTATTATGAAACATTAAATTCAAGTTGACCAATTTGAACTGCTATATTTTCTTTTGCATATGTAGATTTTGAAGCTTAAATGCAGATAAAAGTATGTGCAGCTTTGAGGTCCTGCAATTTTAAATGTTAGTAAAAAACTAACAATATCGATTCCAGCTATTTTATATATTAGCAGCTTACCTATCTCAGCCAATTCTCACATAAAACTTGGCAACTGGTAATGGTTCTCTTTATTCAGAGTTTAGAGACAAAAGGAATGCACAGAATAACTGTAGCTGACCTCTGTGGATGTTGGTCTAGTGAGAGTTTGCTAGTTAAGAGTTCATATAATCTAGGTAAAACCAAGAGTCTTGTCTGGTTATGTGGTAAGTGAAGCATTTGCAGTTGGTTTCAGTGTGTTGCATATAAATTGAGTCAAGGTGGTGTATGAATACATTTGTCTAGTATCACTGTAGGACTTGATTATGATTTCTTGGTTGTTACTACTCTCTTGTAGCTGTCCTGTGTGAACTGGACAACTAGGTGACAGATACATTTTTGGATATTGTCAATAACTGTTGAAAATAAGAAAACGACTCTTTTAGTTTTCACTCTTTGCTTTTATTTATTTAATTTAGAGACTGAGTCTCACTCTGTCTCACAGGCTGGAGTGTAGTGCCGTGATCATAGCTCACTGCAGCTTTGAACTCCTGGGCTCCAGTGGCCCTCCCACCTCAGCCTCCTGAGTTGCTGGAACTATAGGCATACACCTTCACGCCTGGATACATTTTTTATTCTATAGAGATAAGAGCTTGGTATGTTGCCAAGGCTGGCCTCAAATTCCTGTCCTAAAGCCATCCTCCCACCTTGGCTTTCCAAAGTGTTGGTATTACAGATGTGAGCCACCATACTGGGCCCCAAATGTATTTTTTAATGCAGAGATTTCAATAAATAATATTACAGTCCTAGTATTCTGTAATAGTTGTTAACGGCTTTTGATATGTGATGTTATTAAGATGACTTCCTTATTTTACACATGAATAAAACAGCCCCAAAGATAAATGCCTTATTTATGGTCACCTCACTGTATATTTTTTTCCATATTGTTTGGTTTCCTCTAAAAAAATACTTGCACATGAATAGAAATAGACTGCACACCCATATTTTTTCATTCATTTGTGCATCAAATAGTTTTTGTTTTTTTATACTTTACGTTTAGGGGTACATGTGCAGAGCATGCAGGTTTGTTAGGTAGGTATACACGTGCCATGGTGGTTTGCTGCTTCCATCCCCCCGTCATCTACATTAGGTATTTTTCCTAATGTTAACTCCTTTCCAATCCTCCCTATCTCCTGCTATTCCTCCTCTAGCCTCCCCACCCCGCAACAGGCCCCGGTATGTGATGTTACCCTCTCTGTTTCCATGTGTTCTCATTATTCAGCACTCACTTACGAGTAAGAACATGCAGTGTTTGGTTTTCTGTTCTTGTGTCAGTTTGCTGAGAATGATGGTTTCCAGATTCATCTGTATCCCTGCAAAGGACATGAACTCATCCTTTTTATGGCTGCATAATATTCCATTGTGTATATGTGCCACATTTCCTTTATCCAGTCTATCATTGATGGGCATTTGGGTTGGTTCCAAGTCTTTGCTATTGTAAACAGTGCTGCAGTAAACATATGTGTGCATGTGTCTTTTAGATTATAGAATATTTTATAATCCTTTGGGTATATACTCAGTAATGGGATTGCTGGGTCAAATGGTATTTTTATTTCTACATCCTTGAGAAATAGCCACACTGTCTTCCACAATGGTTGAACTAACTTACATTCCCACAACCGTGTAAAAGTGTTCCTGTTTCTCCACATCCTCTCCAGTATCTTTTGTCTCCTGTTTTTTAATGATCACCATTCTAACTGGCGTGAGATGATATCTCAGTGTGGTTTTGATTTGCATTTCTGTAATAATCAGTGATGATGAGCTTTTTTTCATATGTTTGTTGGCTGCATAAATGTCTTCTTTTGAGAAGTGTCTGTTCATATCCTTCACCCACTTTTTGATGGGGTTGTTAGTGTTTTTCTTGTAGATTTGTTTAAGGTCTTTGTAGATTCTGGTTAGTCCTTTGTCAGATGGGTAGATTGAAAAAATTTTTTCCTATTCTGTTGGTTTCCGATTCACTCTAATGATAGATTCTTTTGCTGTGCAAAACCTCTTAAGTTTAATTAGATCCCATTTTTAATAGTTTTGTTTTATGTATATATGCGTGTGTGTCTGTGTGTTTTTCTGAAATGGAGTCTCACCCTGTTGCCCAGACTGAACTGCAATGGCAGGATCTGGGCTCACTGCAACCTCTGGCTCCTGAGTTCAAGTGATTCTCCTGCCTCAGCCTCCTAAGGAGCTGGAATTACAGGCACATGCCACCACACCCAGCTAATTTTTTGTATTTTTAGTTGAGATGGGGTTTCCCCATATTGGCCAATCTGGTCTTGAACTCCTGACCTTGTGATCCACCCGCCTCAGCCTCCTAAAGTGCTGGGATTACAGGTGTGAGCCACCGCACCCGGCCTGTTTTGTGTTTTTAAAAGACAGGGGAGACATTCTGTTGCCAAGTTGAGGTACAATGGTGGTGGTGGTGCAATTATGGCTCACTTGGGAGGCCAAGTGTTGGGGTTATGGGAGCAAGACATCACACCTGGCTTGAAATGTTTTATATCTTTCTTCCATACCACTTTTGCATAGGGAATGAGCTGTCAACCCTTTCATCCAGTCATCCTAATGCTGAATTTGTATGTTTTTCATGTTTGTTTCTTTTTTTTATTATTTATTATTTTTTTATTGCATTTTAGGTTTTGGGGTTCATGTGAAGAAGATGCAAGATAGTTGCATAGGTACACATGTGGCAGTGTGCTTTCCTGCCTTCCTCCCCTTCACCTATGTCTGGCATTTCTTCCCATGCTATCTCTCCCCAACTCCCCACCACCCGCTGTTCCTCCTCATTCCCCGCAACAGACCCCAGTGTGCAGTGCTCCCCTCCCTGTGTCCATATGTTCTCATTGTTTAACACCCGCCTATGAGTGAGAACATGCGGTATTTCATTTTCTGTTCTTGTGTCAGTTTGCTGAGGATGATGGTCTCCAGGTTCATCCATGTCCCTACAAAGGACACGAACTCTTCGTTTTTGATGGCTGCATAATATTCTATGGTGTATATGTGCCACATTTTCCCAGTCCAGTCTATCATCGATGGGCATTTGGGTTGGTTCCAGGTTTTTGCTATTGTAAACAGTGCTGCAATGAACATTCGTGTGCATATGTCCTTACAGTAGAATGATTTATAATCCTCTGGATATATACCCAGTAATGGGATTGCTGGGTCAAATGGAATTTCTATTTCTAGGTCCTTGAGGAGTCGCCACACTGTCTTCCACAATGGTTGAACTAATTTACACTCCCACCAACAGTGTAAAAGTGTTCCTATCATGTTTGTTTCTTAAGAAATCAATTTACCACATTTTGGAAGTCTGGTTTTTTGTTTTTTGTTTTTTTTAAATCAGAGCAGGGGACTGCTGTTGGATCTACACTGTTCAGGTAATACATGAACAGTGGTAGAGTTGCAGGACATTTTTTTTTTTTTTTTGACATGGAGTCTCGCTCTGTTGCTCAGACTGGAGCAAGTGGCACGATCTTGTCTCACTGCAACCTCTGCCTCCTGGTTCGAGCGATTCTCCTGCCTCAGCCTCCTGAGTAGCTGAGACTGCACGCATGTGCCACCATGCCCAGCTAAGTTTTTTGTGTTTTTAGTAGAGATGGGGTTTCACCGTGTTAGGATGGTCTTAATCTCCTGACCTGTGATATGCCCTCCTCGGCCTCCCAAAGTGCTGGGATTACAGGCATGAGCCACCATGCCTGGTCACAAGGACATCTTAATAGCATCTTTTGCCTCAGGGCTTTGGTTTCGAGTTAGGGCTTAGGCTGATTAAGGTATAGTGCTTATATATTACTAGTTGTGTATGTAATTAGAACTTCTAAGCAGAGTCAGACTCGCTAATTGTGAAAGATGTACTCAACTGATTTGTAGTACACCCTAGGATTGTTACAAGGTGTGTAGATGTCTGTTCCCTGAGAGCAAAGATCTTTTCATCTATTAGCAGTGTGACCACGGGTTCTTACTAAACTTAGAGGAGACTGCCTATTTTCCGGAAAGTGGTGGAGATGAAATGGTTGCTTTTTGGGAGATTGTCACTCAGTGAGTGTACTTCTGGCCTCAATGGCCTCCCACACAAATCCACTGAGAGTTGTCATCCCAAATGTAACTCAGTCACAAGGCTTGCTTCTTTTACCAAGAAAACTTTGATAATAACTGAAAAAATTATTTTGTTAAATTCAAGGTAATACTAAAAATTTCTTGGGGAAAATTTGAACTTTGAATCCCTGACCGTAGAAGTTGTTTATCATTAAAAGCAGAAAAATGTGGGAGGACTATTTTAGATTTAAAAAAAACTAAAGAGACAACTGGTGTAATATGTATAACTTGATGGAATCTGTCAGAAAACATAAGTAACTATAAGGTGTGTTTGGACAGCTGGGAAAGTTGAATATTGTCTATATGTTAGATGATAATGATAGAATTACAGTTAATTTTATGCATCAGAATATGTGTATCAGAGAAGGAAAAAGCAAATGGGGCAAACTTAATAATAGTTGATATGCATCTAGGTGAAGGACACACAGGTATTCATTGTACTATTCTTTTAGCTTTTCTGTAGATTTAAAGCTTTTCAAATCATGTTTTGGGAAATAAAAGAATATGCTTGCCAAATGTGAGATGAACAAAGAGTTGTGGTAGACAATAATAAACAGTAAATGATATAAAACAATTTAAAGGCCAGTGGGTGACTTATCTAACCCTTCCTATATTGTCCTAGGGAATAAAAATCAGGTCATCAAACAAAGCGATACTTGAAATTATTGGTTTTGGGTAATCTTTTAACTGATTAATCAAATCATAGTATACCTACCTAGGCAGTTTATCTTTTCCTGTCTTATTCAGGAGGCTTCAAAATGAAGGCATTTGGGCACATTCTGTATTCAGATATATCATAGATAGATTGATAAAAGTGACTTCACCTCTTTCATTCCCCATCAATTGTTCTTCAGTGAAAAACTTTTGGGGGAAAGACCCTTAAAAGCAAAGCAGAGTGAGTTTCAAATGATGAAAATAGTTTTCTAAACAATGTAACATAATTAAAGATAAGCTGATTTTTTTTTAGCTGTTCACAGGTTTAGTTGCTAGGATGGGTAATGAACTAGAAAGCTATATACCTTTGAACAGCAACTTTTCAAAATATTACAGATAAAGAACAAGGTTAAGAATATTTTGCGATTTCTTTCAGTTGAAATGCATATCATTCAACAAAGTAGTTAATGCTTCTTTTTATCAAATCATATGAAATATTCCGATTTAAAATATTTTATAATTTCCATCTCCTAATTAAAAATGTGATTACATTCTTGCTGTCAGACTGATTAGTTTTTAGAAGTACAGTAATTGCAGCAGGTGTTAATCTCACGTTGGTATTTGCTTCACACCCCCTCATGTTTGGTAGAATGGAATTTATAGAGTGGATAAGTGCTTAGAACATAACAAAAGTGCCTGATGGAGCCCCCAGAAATCTGGTGACTAGCCCAGACCAGAATTGTACTTGTCACCAATTTTAGACCCTTGTCCCATTCTAACTCTGAAGACCAACTTTGCTTTGCCCTGAACCACACATACTTTTGTGCTTTTTATCCTGGCCAACATTACTTCAGCATTGATTGTTTTCCCCCTAGTATTAAAGGAACTTAATTTGATATAATTTAGCTTAAATAATGCTGTATGCTATGTCCAGTATTCACCGATTGCTTAAATGTTTAAGAATGTTTACTAGTGTGAATACTGTTTTTTACTGTATTTAAGTAAACCCATGTAAGGTATTTATAAATTGCCTCTATAACTTATATTTATGGATTAAAATGTTTTTGTTTTGAATAATGGCTAACACTTATATTTTACTGTGAGCCAAGCACTATCCCAAGAACTTTCCATAGGTTAACTTACTAAATTGAATTCTCACAGCAACCCTTTGAAGTAGGCATTACTGTTGTGGTCCTGATCATTTTATGGATTGATTTGGAAGCTGAGAATCAAAAAGGTTGGGCATGTGGTAATTGATGAAGGTGGGATTTGAACCTTGGCTCACTGCTGCTGAGTTTATAGTTCTCATCACCTGGGCAATGGTGCAGTCCAGGTGCAGTTGTCCTCTTCAGGTGAAGGAGAGCTGCTGCTCTTACTGTTCATGACATTCCTTTTGAGTCACCTGGGCTAGAAACTAGGGAGCTCCCTTTGCCTTGTTTGCTGTTAACACCTCACTCATCAATAAGTTTTACCGATTCCAACTCTGAAATGTTTTCTTTGTCCATCCTTCCTCTCTGCCCTGGTGCTACTGCCCTATTTCAGGCAGCCGTGTAGGTCAGGGGTTGGCAAATCATAGCCGATGGTCCAAATCCAGCCACTGCTGTTTTTGTATGTCTTGCTAGCCAAAAATGGTTTTTACATTTTTAAATGGTTGGAAAAAAGTCAAAAGATTAAATTATGATACATGAAAATGATATGAAATAAAAATTTTAGTGTTCATACAGTTTTACTGGAATAGAGTCACGTTCATAGAGTCATGTTCATTTCCTTGTGCTACTTTGTCTGACAATGGCAGAATTGAGTAGGTATAATAGAGAATATTTACTGTCTCGCCCTTTACAAAAAAAGTTTGCTGACCCTTGATCTAGATTATTATAGTAGTTCTACTTACTAACTTCCCAAACCTTCCCTTATGTCTCCTTCCTTTCTGTTCTCATTGTTGATGGATGGGTAGTAGTGGGCGAATACAAGAAACTAGTATTCTTATTATCTCTGATGTGGTGTTTATTTAATTTTACCACATAGTCATATCTGTTAGTTGTTTACCTGTTTCTGTCATGTAATAGAGTTAGGAACTCCTTATTGTTAGGATGATACCTTACCCACCAACAAAGGGATGATACATACCCACATGCTATCCATGCTTGAATGAAGATATAATCAGTCATTTATAAATGGCACTTTAAATTTTTACTCACATACTATATTTTCATTTTAAGAGCAAATAAAAAAAAGCAGTTGGTAAAGTCTGTCAGAAGTTTTTTTGTATGTGCAGACTCCCTTCCAGCATGTCTTTTAGAGCTTTTACGGTGATGGGATCCTTGTTACTTCTTTTGTAACACTGACAAAAGAAGTGTGATGAAGGTGTTACTAGGTCTCTGACAAGTACGTGGTTTAAAAGCTAAGTCATTTTAATTAGTGAGTGACACATGCTTTATTAGAGCCATTCTGGCCTAGAGCAATAGTATGATACTGGTAGCTTTAGGAATGTTCTTGAATGTGGCACTTAAGTTACAAGAGGGCTCTAGAGCCATACCAGTTTCCAGGGGTTACAGTTTGCTGGTGAGTTGAGCAGGATTGGCATTACAGAGATAATGTGGAAAGGTTTGATGGGTTTCCATTCCATAGGATGCTCCCTTGGGCAATCTGTTAGGAGTTGAGGAAGTCCCGATATCCTGGAAGGACCAAACATATGTATAGTAAAGGTCAGAACAAACTGGATGTCTCATCTAGAGTATTGGGTGGTGTTTGAAGAGGCAGGTTTTGAAGATCATGGAAAGCAAAAGTTCTTCAGGTCAGAGTCTTCAGAGCAGTGGCCTAGGTAGGGAAAATCTATGAATGTGTGAACTGCAGGCAGGTAGGTTGTTGATACTTTCCTATTATCTTTCCTGCTGCCTCAAGGACATACCATTGCTATCGTCATAAGAGTTCTGAGGTCTTGGTTGTAATGTCAGCAGTGGGAGAATACATATGTCATCAAGCTGCAAACTGCATTCTGGGTCATCAGTGCTCTCTTTTCTGTATTAATGTGGCACTGTGATCATGGAATCGCAGATACTCTGGGAGCAGTCCAGCTTTAATGCAGAGTTCTTCTGGAGGTTGGAAGGACTTGCCTGATAACTATCACCTTGCCCTCATTGATAATTCTGATGAAAACCTGCCCCTCCATAGTCATCAGGCCTCTTACCTCAGACAACCAAGAGCAACCAGAATTCTTTTGAGACACTTGGGATATGATGTGCACTCATCACCTTTTGTATTAGCTGCCAGGAAAGCTAGTTTCTGGGAGAAGTACCTTTAACAGCACTTGTGTAGATTTCAAGATTTTCCAGACTGATTGTTTCAGTGGGAATTTTAAACCCAGAGTAGAGATACTTAAAACGAGAACGTAAGAAAAGATGACAATGATTGAGAAGCCGTAGACACAAAAAGCTGATAACACAAAAAAGTTAAGTTTTAATTTAAATTCAAGAAACAGATTGACTAAGATCATGATCATCTTACAATTAGAGGATTAGTTTATCACTTATAATTAATATTGCCTAGCCATCCCTTATTCTTGTTTGACATTTGTCATGGAGAAACATTGCAAATCCTTGCCCATGTTATATACTTAAGATTTGTGCACCCAAACATCAGTCTGCTAAGGAGGACATGGAGAATATAGACTTTCATGAAGTTATAGAAGAAAATGTAAAGGGCACTATATTCCAGAGTCTTTCTTTGTAAAGTTTTAGTTATAGCAGTTATTAGCCCTTATGTAATGCTCTCCTGTTACTGTAAAGAAATACCTGAGACTGGGTAATTTGTAAAGAAGAGGTTTAATACTTTTACAGAACTTCATGGTTCTGTAGGCTGTTTAGGAAGCTTGACACCAGAATCTGTTCAGCTTCTGGTGAGGCCTTGGGCTGCTTATAGAAGGCAGAGGGAAAATGTTATTTTACATGGTGAGAGCAGGAGCAAGAGGTGGGGGGAGGTGCCACACATTCTTAAATGACCAGATTTCCTGAGAAATCACTCTGTCATTAGGACAGCTCCAAGGATATGGTGCTAAAAACGATTTGTGAGAGATCAGGCCCAATGATCTAATCACTTCCCACTGGCCCCCACCTCCAATACTGGGAATTAGGTTTCAACATGAGATTTGGTGGAGACAAATATCCAAACTATTATCAGCCCTTCTTATAGAAGAGGTTCTCCTTTTACATTATATTCATATTACTATTCGGGATGCGGAATGGAAGGAGGCCCCAAAACATCGGTGGAATTGTTCACGTGTATAGTCCATAAGAACAAATTGTAATAACTTGGTTAAGTGCTATTGGATTCACAACTCTACTGTCAGCTAACTGATACTCCAGGGAAATTTGGTGTCCATGTTTTGACTTGTTCATGCTGCTGTCCTCACCACTGTTGCCACCATTGTGCTAAACTGTCTGTCCTTTTAATTTGCTTTTATAATCAAGTGTTCCCATAAATATTGCAGGCCAAAGGATGAGCCTGATAAGGAAATATATATATATATTAGCAGAGTGAATAGAGTTAGCTGCCTTGGCAGGTGGCTGGAGAGCTCTCTGGGAGTGTTAAGGGAAAACAGCTGGGGGTGCCATTTTGTAGATTGAGGCTCTGGATTGAGTTGGACTAGATGATCTTTATGTCTCTATTAATTCTGAGGATTTTTAATTTTTTGAGCACTCTTGGCCACACTTGATTTTTTCTTTCTTTTCTTTTCTTTTGAGACGGAGCCTCACCCTGTTACCCAGGCTGGAGTGCAGTGGCGCCATCTCAGCTCACTGCAACCTCTGCTTCCCAAGTAGCTGGAATTACAGGTGTGTGCCATCTCTTCCAGCTAATTTTTTGTATTTTTAGTAGAGATGGGGTTTTGCCATGTTGGCCAGACTGGTCTTGAAGTCCTGGCCTCAGGTTATCCACTCTGCTTGGCCTCCCAAAGTGCTGGGATTACAGGTGTTAGCCGCTGTGCCCATCCCACACTTAATTCTTAATAATCAGTTTGAGCCAGGCACAGTGGCTCACACCTATAATCCCAGCACTTTAGGAGGCCGAGGCAGGAAGATCCCTTGAGGCCAGGAGTTTGAGACCAGCCTGGGCAACATAGCAAGACCCTCTCTCTACAAAAATAATTAGCCACGTGAAACATACTGGAGATCACTATTTTATGATCTGTGTCTAAGCTGGGAAGGAAGTAGAGAAGACAAGAATAGTGATCAACCTTAGAGCTGATTATCTTCATTAGGAAACTGGGAGTTAACAATGCAGGACAGAAGAGAACATCAAGGAAACAAGTCTCTTTAGAGAACAGAAAGTGGAAGAAGGGACACATTGCTCACAGTGTGAGGCTCACCTCAGGTGATACGCCCTCTTATCCCCTCATTCATGGGATGGGGTAGGGGAGTGGGTGCTCAGGATTTAGAGAAAAAGGAATGTGACTTCCAAAAAAGGAAGAGTACAGTTTGGCCTAGCCTCTTTCTGGTGGACATGCACTCTCATAAGACATTGAGAGGATTGCAGAATGTTGAGGAAAAGGATATCCCTGGGAGAACAGAGCCGAGTTAGGACTTTCAGTAGAGACTGGTTCCTTTGTCTCTTTATGACATTCCACGAACTGCCCTTGAATATGGCACAAGCTCCCAATAGCTGGAAGAAGAAGGGTTCTCCTAGACAACACAGCATCACACACAGAGAAGCCAGATCGAATGTCCTTGTGAAGTAGAAGGCAATGAGGAGACACGGCAAGGCCTCTGTACACATGGCAGGACGGACAGAGAAAGGCTCAGTGCATATAGTAGAAGAATGCAGTCTGTTCTGGAAAAAAATAATGATTTCCTTTCAAAAAAGGAAGAGAATTCCCAAGTACTGTGGAATAGTTTAATAGGAACTAGAAGTTTATAAAACACTAGTTCAGAAGTGATAAAATAACAGAATGAGGTGAAAAGGGAAAATACGGGGCCAAGAAACACTTAAGGAACTTATTTGTTGCAGAACAACAAATAAATTAGAAGCAGCAAGGAAAAGGATACTCATGGCTGAAAAGTTACCTTACTGACAGCAAAAGCTTGAGATGTTTACAGTGAGTGCAGAAGAAAACCTTGGAGCAGTGAGAAAAATAGATGAGTATGGGAAACAGATGGAGAACATTACAGGTGATTGGACTGTCTACAGGCGCAGCTGAGATGGTACCATTATGGGCCTTCCATTCTCTAGTTCAAATTTGTCTTGGAATGCTGATTTTAAGTTGCAGAAAATTTACTTTTTTAGATATAACTCATTTGGAAATATGTAAGCATGGACATATTGGTGAAAATGAATATTCATGTGCTTCCTAGAAGAATACCAATGAGATAAAGATTTATTTATAGCCTGAAACCAGGAAAATCCCCCCTTGAAGCAGTTTGTTTCCTGGCATTGATACACAGAGCTTCCCTCCCCCACCCTGTGATGATTTTCTTGGGTCTGCAGGAACTATCTTTTGCTAACTGTGAATACTGACCTGCTGATCGTAGGGCAAGCATTTTGCTGCTTTTTCTGCATCCAGAACTCATTATGTAGTGTGGGTTTTATGGAGAAAAAGAAATTTTGTTTTGTTCTGTCAGACATCTGTGGTTAATCATTTACCTTTTCTACATTTAAAAAAAAATATTTCAAGTAAGTCTGGATGACAAGTTAGCATACGGGAAGAGCAAACGGATCCGGTAACATTTACTATCACTGACGGGAAACTGAACTTTCATTCCTTGCATGCCACCAAGTAAGGCTGAGAATCTTTACATTGCAGATTGCTTGGGGAGACTAGAGGCTGAGGGGAAATTGGTTGCTGGAATGCACTTGTCATGAATTATTCATTCACTTCTGCATTCTCTGAAGGTCAGCTGGAGGAAGTAGTTAGTCCATCCAGTTTGATGGTGGGAGTGCTATGCTGAGGGCTTCAGTGAGCCCTCAAAAGTCCAGCTGCGACAGCCAGCCATGTGCCACTGCTGGCAGCTGTAGGGTGGCAGCTGCTGTGCAGGCAGTGCCTGTCCCCCAGCAACAAGCACAGAGGACTGTGCTGCAGGGAAGTGCAGCACTGAGCACACACCAATGCATTCTTGTTGGAAAAGGAATCTTCAGGTAGGAGACGTGCCCTGTCAGCTGTGCCTGGTTTCTCACTGATGCTGGGATGCTATTAGGCCTTATGGAACAGATGTGTAGAATGGAGTTGTTGCTCAAGGATGCCTCACTTGAGGTTCCCAGCCAGAAAAACTTAAAATTTAATTTTAATTTCATTTTCATTTTATTTTTTGGAACGGAGTCTTACTGTGTCACCAGGCTGGAATGCAGTGGTGTGATCTCAGCTCATTGCAATCTCCAACTCCCTAGTTCAAGGGATTCTTCTGCCTCAGCCTCTCGAGTAGCTGGGATTACAGGCATGTGCCACCACATCCAGCTAATTTTTGTATTTTTAGTAGAGATGGGATTTCACTGAGTTGGCCAGGATGGTCTTGATCTGGTGACCTCATGATCCGCCCACCTCGACCTCCCAAAGTGCTGGGATTACAGGTGCGTAAGCCACCATGCCCAGCCATTTAATTTCATTTTCAAGATGTACTTTGTTTCTAATAAAACTGTTTCTTGAAATTGTGAAAAGTATTCTGAAGCCAGTAAGCATTTAAATATATAAATTTTAGCTTTTTAAAATGTATCATCTTATTCTTGATATCAAAAAATCTTTTTTTATTGATATAATGTTGTCAAATTATAGAGTTAGGGCTTTGAAAAATCCTCAGAAAGACAACTGAGTTCATAATTTGAATGAACACAGCTGCAGGCTCTCTTGCTGTTTTCTAGAGGAAGTATTGTTTTCAGAAGCCATTCCAATTCTTTCTACTGGAGCCTTCGTTCTGGGAAGATCTTTTAGTTTCTCATAGGACGGAAAAATGCATCTTTGTTCTGTTTGTCTATATTATTTCTAACCGCGTGTGTGTGTGTAAGCCAGACACGTCATTTCATTCGGCAGGTCTGCTCCCTCAGTCTGATTTTGTGTGGATGCTGTCCCTGTTAATTTTGCTGATGCTATGAGATGTTCTTGAGCTGTAGGGACCTGAAAATAGTAAAGATGAAAAAAAAAAAAAAAACCCCAGAGTATTAAGGAATCCAGGCCAAATTGCATATACTGTTTCATCAGTAAATATATCATTTATAGTTTTGAATCTAACAAATGTCCTCTAAACACATAAGCTCTGAGCTCTGAGACAACCGAGAAAATGGACAATCTCTTTCTACACTGTTTTTTAAGCTCCTAAATAGCAGGGATCTTTGTTTTGTTCACTCATCATTCCCAAGGGCTGGACCTGGACCTGGCTCATAGTAGGTGGTCAATAAATGTATTCCTGAATGAGTCCATTCTGCGCTAAAGACCATTAACTGCCCTTCTAGAAAGGTTACTTGCTCATGTAGCACTGTAGGAAGTAGCTACAGTGTTATAATTTCTGTAATAACTTTTATAGCAAATGCATTCTGACTTGTATTGACCCAGATTATTTCAAGATTTTTTGTATTTATTGGATGCATTATTTTAAAATGGCAGAAATTTATCTGTTCATTTAACTGATGTATAACTAAGATTTTTTAAAAAGTCAACAATAAATACAAAGACGTTTGTTTTCAGCAGACCCTTATTTCATACTCAGAAAATGAAAAATACTTAATGGAGAAAGGATTTGAAAAAGACTGTATTCTTCGGTACATTACTGTTGATTACATATGATTATGATTCTAATCATATATTATATGTAACTTTAAAAAAGCGTTTAATTTCTCAATCTGTATCTGAGAGGCTTGGGGAACTATAAATCCATTTATTCCTAACTTTGGGAGTGAATTTTCAACTGCAGTGTGTGGTGCTGAGCAGTGCTAAGCAGGGCACTATATTCCTCATAGACATTTGACTCTCAGAGGAACCAAAGGAGTCATCTTCATTAACTCTATTTCCCTCTTCCTTCCATACAGTCCACTTTATAGAGGAGAAAGCTGAAATCCAGAGATTCTAGATGAATGACCTAGGACAAATGCATGGCTATTAATGGTCTTCTGCTTGGTTGTGTCATATATTTTCTAGTTGCTTGTTACTTCATTATTGTCACAATGAGGTTTAAAGAAGAAAGCAGCAGCGGAAACAGATAATCACGTGACTATAAATTTGGACTGTATTATACTGAAGACAAATATTGATGCATTTTTGGCATTACTTTAATTAAATTACCTTAGTTTGATGAAATACAGTTTTGTAAGATGTAGATTTTCCCCTTTTAACTTCTGTGATCTAATTGTCTTTTTCCTGAGTTAAGATTGTAGTGACTAAAATATGGACTAAATTTTATTTCAAAATTGAACTTCTTGTAAAATGGTACTTTATACCATTTTCATTATTCCTTAAGATGGCTTTACCTTTTATATTTGAGATACATGTAGATTATGTCATAATTTTCCTGAATCCATTTTACTAACTGTATTAGTCTGGTTGGGCTGTCATAAGAAAATGCCACAGACTACATGGCTTGAATAATAGAATTCATGTTCTCAAAGTGCTGGAGGTAGGAAAGTCCAAGATCAGGGTCTGGCAATTTGCAGTTTCTGGTGAGGCCTCATTCTGGCCTGCAGACAGCCGCCTTCTCTCTGTGTCCTCACATGGCCTTCTCTCTGTGCACAAGCTGAAAGCATCTGTAAGCTGAATAATTCTAGTTTCCAACCTCCCTATGTTAGAATTCATTTAAAATTTTGAGAGACTATTCTACTTTCTCATTCCATCTTCTCCCTACCCTACTCTTCAAGTCAGGCATGTAAGAGATATTTAGTCTTCTTTCCCCAGGATCACTGGTTAAGATAATGTTCAGCTGGGCACAGCAGGAGTCTTAAAAGTTCCTTAAAGTTCTTAAGTTTGGTGTGCTGCAAATTTTCTTTAGGAATTGCAGATTGGATTTTTTTTTTAAAGCCTCTTGTTATTAGTGATCTTAAGGCTAGGAAGCCAAGCTGAGAACTCTGTATCAGATTTCAACTGTTTTACTTATAAGAATTCATTATTGGCCGGGTGCGGTGGCTCACGCCTATAATCCCAGCACTTTGGGAGGCCGAGGCAGGTGGATCACGAGGTGAAGAGATCGAGACCATCCTGGTCAACAAGGTGAAACCCTGTCTCTACTAAAAATACAAAAATTAGCTGGGCATGGTGGTGCGCGCCTGTAGTCCTAGCTACTCGGGAGGCTGAGGCAGGAGAATTGCTTGAACCCAGAAGGCGGAGGTTGCAGTGAGCCGAGATTGTGCCATTGCACTCCAGTCTGGGTAACAACAGCGAAACTCCATCTCAAAAAAAAAACAAAAAACCAATTCATTATTTCTTGAGGTCCCTAAAATATCCTGAGACTCCTGGGCCTCCCAGGAAGTGGCTTTTCTTACTCACCCGCAAGGCTGGGAACTCTGTAAGCCAGTTTTTCCAAAGAAGGTTTTTCAAGCATGGCTTTGTAAAGTCAGTCTTAGTTTCTTAGTTCCAGAACTTTTCTCAAAAGTGTTTAGTCATATTTGATTTAATGAGCATCATTTTCAAATGTGAGTTTAGTTGCAAAACCAATATTTCCACTTAATGTTCTAGTAAAAAGAAGGACAGATTCTTAATCTATGCAAATAACTTTATTCCCCTGAAAATGAGAATATGTATTAAGTTTCTGAACTGCGGAGGGCTCGAGAAGGGAGAATGTTTACAAGTGTTTCATTTCAGTATACAAAAGCAGAGTCTACTAAATTATGAGTTATAGATAGCTTTAAGAGGAAGGAAAAAGGCGTCCTTATATGTCCAGAAAATAGAACATTGAAACAATACGAACAGTATTCCAGTCAGAAACTACAATCATCTCTCATTAGCTTATTCAGCCTTTTTCCACTGGATGTGGGATTCGCAGTATTATGAACCCATTCACTACGTCTTAAGAGTCCTGGAAATTCTGACTTAGGCCATTGGTATGATCTGAAAGTTGTTTAAGCAATATCATTAGAAGCCTGTGCCCTAAAGTACCCAGCATAGTTATTTTCCATGAGGTTCCTATGCAGTCTTCATGCCTGTAGCTGATTGAAAAGGCTTTGAGGGTAGCATCAGACTAAAACAGCAACAAATAAATGTTTGTAAATAAAAACACTTAAAATAGTTGCAGTTAAGTTTTTACTGATGATTTTCAAAAAATAAAAGATCTGTTGAGAGTTTATTTTGAGAAAAATATAACTGACAAGGAGATCTGGTTTCTGTGACATGCAAAGCAAGATAATAAAGTCAATCAAAAAATTTTAGACAAAATGTAATGAACTGTAGTCAAAGGATGTAATAAATATGTCTGGTTTATTAAAACAGATGAGCATAAACTTTACAGATAAATGATTCTTGAAATACAGCAATAATCCTAGATACAATGTACCAATAATGTATCCAGAATATCAAGTGAAAAGATCTAACAAGTCTGGAGTAGTTCCTAAGCTTCTGTATATTAATGAAACTCCATCTCTGTAGTAAATTATGTGAATCCCCAGTTGAAAACCACTGGCCCAGAAGATGCTGATTTCAAATTTAAAAAGTGAAGTTGTAACTGAATTAACATTTTAAAATATAAGACTGATAACAGCTATACAGTGCAGAGCAGCATCGGGACTTTGATAAACAGAAGCTAATCATGACAGAGCATTGACAAATCTCTTTTGATTTGCTCATTGCTCCCATGCAATTTCATCAACAGTAAACAAACAAATGCAATTATTTCCAGTACCTTTTTGTTTTGTTTACTGTGAAAGAATAAGTTTTTGTCATCTTTCACAGGTGCTCGTAGAAATCTCAAAGAGAATTTCCAGCCCAAAAGTATCTCGAATTTTTTATTTTATTTTACATTTAGGATTTGAATTTATAAAGACATAAATCAGAAGTTTTCAGGAGATTTCGGCACTTAAGATAGGAATCAGATCATAGGTGCCTGAGAAATACTTTTGTATTTCAAAGTGACATCCAAACATTTGAAAATAAACTGAAGGTTACATGATTATAAAGCATTTGGCTCTTTCGTTCTTTTTTTAAGTTGCATTTTAGGTTTTGGGGAACA